CTTGTCCAGGACGAGGCGGGCATCAGGGGCTCCGCCGTTGAGTTGGTTGCGGAGGTCCGTCGTGAGGTTGAAGGTCTCCTGGAAGAGGTCCCCTCCGCCGACCTGGTCGGCCGTGGCGTCCTCATCGTGCTCCCTGGGCTCTTGGTCCTCAGGGATGGCTTTGGTGACGAGGTTGCGGTTTGACTTAGTTCTCTCCATGATCAGTGGTTGGCTGTGCTTGGTAGCGACGAAGGGTGCTAACTTGATTGTTCTAGCTCTCAACGAGAGCACCAAATGATAGAGTATATCTCTAGAGAGAAGTGAGAGCTAGAGAGAGAAGTGCAGTAATATGCTTCAATAGAATGAATTCGTAACCCCTATAACTACTCCCAAGGGGAGTATTTATAGAGAAAATTAGGGTTGGGCTCCCAAGCCTTGGGCTTGGGAGACCCATTTACAACTGGACCACTACTGGGCCGAATACAAAGCCACTAATGGGCTGTACAAATGAGTAAGTATAAAATCCGATTATGTGAGGTCTTCGTGGCCGACGAGGGCGTGGCCGACAAGGGCACGGCCGACGAGGGCACGGCCGACGAGGGCACCCGGGTTCCTTGGACTCAGGACCATAATCCGAGTTGGCCCCTTTTCGGCCGACGGGGGCGTCCTGGCTGACGAGGGCGCCACTCTGTGCCTTGTGCTTTCTGTTCTTCCGAGTATGTGGGTCCGGGGGCTCAGACCCATATACTCCATCAATTATATATATTATTCTATATATAATTATACAGTATATGACTATACGTATAAAACTTAAAATACTTGGAAGTATTAAGGTTTAGACTTTGGAGACCAACAAACATCCTAATGGTTACTGCTATATGAAGGATCGATCTCACAGCCGGGAGGCAGCCTACCGATATTGTCCGCTTTGGGTTGCCCTCACGGATTTAAAATGCATCGATAGTGGTGAAGAGCCTAGGCCTTATAAGGTACCAAAGACTCTCCTAGCCCACCGGTGTGGGATTCTTTGGCATTCCTACCGAAGAGGTGTGTTTAAGATGCGCGAGTTTCACCGGCTCAAGGGACTGGTAGGCCCATACCTAACAATCAGTGGCGGAGCTGGTGTTGTTCAAAGGTGTTCATGTGAACATCCCAAAATTTTAATTTTTACTATCCAAACGCCGTCGTTTTGTTATTCTTCAAAGCTCTTCCGCATTTCAGAAGCTCCAAACTCTGTCCTCCGTTGCGTATCCTACTGCAATTTTGGTTCTTTCTCGATGAATAAAGAATTAGAGGAGCGACATAGTGGTGCATGTCACGTCATTTGTTGAGGCGTGGTTCAGAGGTTGTATGTTATTGGTCTGACAATGCTCTTTTGTTTAATTTATTGGTGTTATCTTGCTTAATTTATTGTTGGTGTGGCAGAACTTTTTTCTTTATTTTTGGAGTGCCAAAATGTTTTTTCCTCATTTATACTACCCCTCTGTTCCCAAAAATACTTCTCACTTTCCTTTTTGGACTGTTCTCAAAAATACTTCTCACTTTCTCATTTTGGATAATTTGTGTGGCTCACATTCATTTTACCTTTTTCTTACACAACCACGACCATACATTTCTACTTTATTCCACTTTCTTAATAAGCGTGCCAAGTCAAATCGGGAAGAATTTTTAGAAACACAGGGAGTATGTGTTAAATAACAAGGACTTTAAAAATCTTCTACTAATCAAATTATTTAGGGAAAAGGGTCAAATAGGCCCTCGAACCAATTTAAAAAGTGAAAATCACCCCTTATATAGGAGGCTCTGTCCGACCGTCGCTATTTTAGGCAGTTTGAAGATAATTTTTTTTGAACATCTTCTTCATTAAGTCTAGTTTACTCATACCAAATTGAAGATAAAAATTCAACCGGGAAGATAGTGAAATGATTTTCTGAAATGTAATGCGCTATTTACTTGGACTGTAATTCCTCCCAGACTTGACCAGACCAAACCAGACCAGACCAGATTTGGATAGTTATAAAAATACAAAGAAACCAGACCAGACCAGCAAATTACAGTCCAAGTAAAAACATCCTTATTTTCAAAAATTCATTTGATTGTCTTCCCGATTGAATTTTTAGCTGAAATTTGGTATGAGTAAACTAGATTTAATGAAAAAGATGCTCAAAAAATTCCATCAAAAAATTCCATCGAGAACCGCCCCAAATGGCGACAGTCGTACAGAGTTTCGTATATAAGGGGTGATTTGCACTTTTTAAGTTAGTTCGAGGGCCTATTTGACCTTTTTCCCAATTATTTATTAATATGTGTGATAGAGTATATCTCTAGAGAGAAGTGAGAGCTAGAGAGAGAAGTAGTATATTTGCTTGGTATTAATGAATTCTCAACCCTTACAACTACTCCCAAGGGGAGTATTTATAGAGAAAATACGGGCTGGGCTCCCAAGCCTTGGGCTTGGGAGGCCCATTTACAACTGGACCGCTACTGGGCCGAATACAAAGCCACTAATGGGCTGTACAAATGAATAAGTATAAAATCCGGTTCTGGGAGGTCTTCGTGGCCGACGAGGGCGTGGCCGACGAGGGCACGACCGACGAGGGCACGGCCGACGAGGGCACCCGAGTTCCTTGGGCTCAGGACCATAATCTGAGTTGGCCCCTTTTCGGCCGACGGGGGCGTCTTGGCCGACGAGGGCGCCACTCTGTGTCTTGTGCTTTCTGTTCTTCCGAGTATGTGGGTCCAGGGGCTCAGACCCATATACTCCATCAGGAGTCCCCCACTCTCTAAGCTGAGACGTAGACGAAGTGAAAGAGAGTAGATTCCCGTGTTTTAGCGCTTTTGGCCGATGCGGGCATCCCCGGGTCATTAGCCGTTGCGGCGTTGGCGTTGTTTCCTCTTTGGTGTGTTCATTCGAGGACGATGAGTCTCCCGCTTCGATGGTGGCCGTTGAAGGCACGCTTTCCTTTTCATGGGCGTTGATGGTTGAAGTTTGGGCCGATGAGGCCGTTGAGGTTGTTCCTTGCTCTGAGGACGATGGCGTCCTTTCCTTTGGGTGGCCGATGGGGGTGTTTGCGCACTCCTTTTGGCCGTCGTTGATTAGCTTTCATGTTTCTGGCCGAAGAGCCCCTCGTGATTAAGTGATGGCGAAGGACGATGAGCGTCCTTGCCTTTGGTGGCCCGTTGGCCGTTGCAGATGACGTTGTGTGCCTTCGGTCGACGAGGTGCAGTGTGACGCATGGCTGATGTGGCCATGCTCTGTGGTTACCTTGTTTGCATTCTCTTTTGTTTTGTTGAGGCCGGTGTAGTCCCCCAGTCCCCCGCTTCTTCAGGCCGAAGAGTGTGAGGGGTGAAGGAGTTGCCTGAGTCCCAGGCCGAGGCGGCCTCTCCGTAGTGCCCCTGAATCCAACCCTTATGGCGATTTTCTGGCCAAGGTAACTCTGTGGGAGAACCCTTGTGCGCAGATTGCTTGTAAAGAGTTATTATCAAGGGTCGTTACGAGGAGCCGACGGCTGTGGGTTTTTGTTCCTTTGGTCTTGTGGCCGTTCATTACGTTCCTGGCCGTTGTCATCTCCCTATCGTTGGCACTTGTGAATTTGGTATGTGAATAGGCCGCTGTGGGCGCTTGCTGGCACTTGTGAAGCCGGCAAGCGTAGAGGCCGTAGAGTCTGTTTTGCTGGTGGGCTCTTGATGTTTTGCTTGGCCCGTTGTTGACGTGGCGGCCTCTCATTGGTGGCCGTTGACGTGTCCATTGGGAGGGTGCCACGTGTAGTGACCGTTGGATGGGGGGTTCTATAAATACCCCTCCCCCTCCGACGAGAAAACTCATTTGCTTTCTGAGTTTTGTCGAAGTGCTGCCCGGATTTCTAGAGAGATAAACTCTGAGCTTGTTCTTCATGTTCTTCGTTTGTTCAAGGTTAGTGTTCATCGAAATCCTCTCTGTACTTTGCATGTTTTGCTTCCTAGGCTAGTGATCTAGTGTTAGGCCCTTGAGTATCCTTAGATCTTGAAGTAGGCTGCAGTATATTCGAGATAGTGTTTAAGATGAAAAACCTCAACGAGGAGTACTATCCTTATGACGACGAGCCCTCTGCCCAGTCCCTTGATTATGACCTTCTCGAGGAGTTCTGTGAGGAGATTGAGAATCTGAGCTCGTTCCGTACCGGGGAGCCGGCCGAAGAGGACCATGCGGACGAGGGGTCTGCGTCATCGTCTGGAGGTGAGGACGCGGGGGTCTCTCGAACTGCTGATGGGGCATCCACGTCGGCTGCCATCCCCTGCCCTAAACATGTGTCTGCTGTGAAGGGCGTTGCACCGCCGAGGAGGGTTAGGAGGCCGAAGAGAGGGCCAGCCTTTTCTCACCTTGATTTGACGAACATCTATGTCATCAGGCCGCAGAGTAATGCGGGGGAATACTTGGTCGCCCAAATGTATGTGGGGCCGTACGGCAGGGTTAGGGCCCCCAGGCCGACGGACCATGTCCTCAATCCCCCCCCGGGCTACTTCGGAGTGTACCCGATGAGCTTTGCTAAAGGGCTTAGGTTTCCGCTTCATCCTTTCATCACTGAGTACCTGGATATGGTGGGGCTCCCTCAGGCCTTGTTGACGCCGAATAGCTACTCCCTCATCGTTGGCTTCATCCTGCGGTGTGCTGAATTGGACTTCAGGCCGACGACGGCGCTGTTTATGAACTTATATCAGATAGGCCGTGGGAGTCATCAGAACTGTGCGTCGTATGCCACCCTTCAACAACTTCCCAAGAAGAGGAGTTTCACAGACCTGCCGACGTCCATCCATGGGTGGAAAGGGAAGTTTGTGTTCGTGTCTCTGGGCGAGGGGGGCACAGAGTTTCCCTCCGTCGGCCACACATGCCGTTTTAATCTTCATGATGCGCCGAGGAGCTCCATCCTGGACGCTCAAGTTGAGGCCTTCCTGGAGGGGGGGCCGAGGAGTGTGAAGACATATATTACCGAGTACAAGATGGCCGCCCTCGGCTTTGTACGGTATTTTGTGTATGGTGATCTCGACGATGATGTGGAGTTGTGGCCGAAGATGACCACGTCCTATGAGGAGGTTGATGGTCCCGATCTGGGGGGTGCCAGCTGAGGCCGATGGTAAGTCCCTTCTGACGTGCTTCCTTGTCGTACTTTCGTATTTTGCTTTCTAACCCTTAGTGTTTTTTTTGTGATGCAGGTTTTGTGATGGACCGCATGTCGTTCATGAAGAGGGCCCAACTCAAAGCGGCCGAGGAGCTGAAGGCACAACAACCTGGGGCTACTGCTGCGGCCAAGCCGCCGGTGCAGCCGAAGAAGAAGAGGCGGGCCGAAGAGGGCCAGAAGAAGTTGACGGAGGTGGGAATGAAGCCTCCCAATAAGTCAAAGAGGGCTTCTTCTGTCGGCGCTGCTGGGACGTCGACTGTTCCTTCTGGGGACGGAGAGGGTTCAAATCCTGATGCTATGGTGGACCACCCTTCAGGCCCGTCGTCCACCATTCTTTCCACTATTCCTGCTCCCTCAACGGCCGCCCGGAAGAAAGGGTCCGGCCGAGAGCTGGTCAGAGGGACCTATAAGCTCGAGGTAGAGTACCCCGTCAAAGGGGGGCTGTTTAATGAAATCGTTGACGGTCACGAGGTGATTTCTCAGGCCATCCCTGATGAAGACCGGGCTTATCTGAAGAAGCTCGGCCACGTGAAGATGTACGATGGTGGGATGGACCACGTCGTCCAAGTGAGTAACCGTGCACGCTTCGTCTTACTTTCTTCGCCATTTTTTGTTGCAAAGTTGTCTAACTTATTTTTACTGCAGGGTGCCTTCATGTTGATGGAGAACAACATGAGGCAACAAAAAGAGATTGCCCGTCTGAGGCAATTTGAGCAGAAGGTTGCCTCAGCCGATGAGGCGCTAGGCAGCTTAGAGAGGCTGCGTCTTGAGGTTGAGGGCCTTAAGAAGAGGGCCGACGAGGCCGACCAGTTGGCCGCTGAGAAGGAGGGGGCTCTCCAGCGCTTGGCCGACGTGGAGCGTGCCCGCGATGAGGCCCTTCAGCGCGCCGAGGAGGCCGAGAAGGGCAAGGCTAGTGCAGAGTTGGCTCTCGTCGCTGCCGAGGAGAAAGCCGCTGATGCCGCTGTGCAGAAGTTTATTGAAGTCGGTTGGAAGGACGAGGGCCGGCTTCCATTCTGTTTTGAGGTCGTGGCGGCCAGACTCGTTGACTGGGTGAACCAATCCCCCGACGGCCAGGCCTATTGGGAGAAGGAGATGAAGGTCTTTTATGACCTTGGCCAATACCGGATGCAACGGTTGTTGTACAGAAGGCTGCAACGGCGTTTCATGGATATCGGTGTGTCCAAAGAGTGGGCCGTCGGTCTCGAGTTGCCTCCTTTGATGAAGCATCCTGAGGCAGAGTTGGAGCTTCCGGTGGCCGAGCGGCAACTCCCTATTGAGAGCTCACGCATCAGCGATGATTGGGCGTATGAGCGGAGCATGTTCGAAGATACTGCCACGTCAGCTGCCCCTGCCGGTACATCTGTTGTCACGCCCGAGGGGGGTCCTGAGGCCGAGAAAGACTCTGAAGCCCCTCCAGAGGTCTGATCCTTTGTAGTTTTATCTTTCTTTGTGCTATGTAACGGCCTAGAAGCCCTCCTTGTACTCAATTTATATTGAATGGAAATGTTTTCGTAGTACTTGCTGTTTGCGTCGTCGTCTCGTTTACTGTTATGTCTAAGTACTTTGGAGTTTAGGACTTAGGAAAATCTACCAAGTATCGGAACCTCGAGTGGGTGGGTGTTCTCATCGTCTTGATGTGACACCCCCTTTGCACTGTTAATCATGTGTTCTAAGAAATTTCCTAAGTGTTGAACCGATGTTGACGTTGTCAGCCCAGTGTCCTTTGTAGCCGTTGTGTCCCCTTGTTTTTGGTCTGATCAGGGTGGTCGGCTTGGGTCCATGTGTTGTGGCCGGTAAGGGCGCACAGGTTGCTGTCTTTCCGGCCAGGTGGCTTGATCGGCCTGGCTGTCGTTTCTCAACTATTATAACACTTAGGATTTTTTTCAAAAATTTCCTAAGTGTTTTGGATCCACTTAGGTGCTCTCCTTTCGGCCTTGACCGCGGTGTCCGCTCCGTCCTGGCGTTGTCCCGTTCTTCTTTTTTGTTAGAATTTTTCTTAAGCGTCTTACTTCAAGTGGAAAGGTGTTCCCATCGTCCTGGCGGTGGATTTCTCATTGTTGACAAATGCTTTGGGAGATTTCCCAAGTGTTTGAACCAGTGTCGTTGTCGGCCTGCATCCTTTTGTTGTGGCCGATAAGGGCACCTTCACCTTGATCTTTTGAACTTAGAGTTCTCCAAGTACACATGCATAGGTGTAAGTAGCTAACGGCCTTGGAGTATACTGGTACCCCGCTTCGTCCTGGTCATCCTCAGGATTGTGATTCTTTGTTTCATACCAAGCGGTGGTGCCTCAAAGGACTATGGCCGATGAAGGTCACCTCTCGCGTGTCACCCAACCGATGCGGTTAGGGTTTTATAGGCGTTTGCTTCGGCCTTGATTATTCCCTTGTAGTGTGTGGACGTGTCGTCCATGTTACCTGTCAGTGGTACTACACTTGTGTTCAACTGATATGTACTTGGCCTAGTTGGGCCTGAGTTGTGGGGATTTTATTTTTTCATTGCTCGAGGCCGGCTAGTGTGCGCGGCCGTCGGCTTCCCTCTTTTTCCCTTATATATATATATATATTTTTTTTTGTTTCGGGGGGTATCCTTCTTTCAGGCTTCGGCCGAAGGGTGTGCTCGTCCTTCAGCCGGTTCGGACTTCGTTTATAACGTCCGTGATCTCAGGGCGGGTCCCGTCGCCTATTTATGACGCGGGCTAGACTTTTGGTCGGTTTCCAACGGCTGTCGTTGCCCATCCCTGAGTTTTGGGATTTTGTCACCTCGGCCATGATTTCAGGCCTGTCGTCCTGCGATCTGGCGCGTGGACGACGCGGTGAGCTTCCCGTTTCAAGACGTGGGCCGTTTGCTGGCCCCTCGTCCTGGGGACATCGTCGGCCATACCTGAGCGTTTCAATTCTAGGCTTACGGGGCCAGGACGATGTGCTCTCTCAGCTAGGCCTGAGCCCTTCACTGATACAAATTACAATGGAGTGCCGGAGCTGTTCGCTCGTAGGCTGCAAATGCCAGGGGCCATGTCGGCCATGCCTGAGCCTTTCGCTCCAAGGTGGCCGACGGGGGCACCTGCTAATGTTTTACTTTACGTTCCAGAGAAAAAATCAGAACATGATTTTATTCATAAGTGGCGCGAGGCCGAGGGTGGCGTTCAATCAGTAACCCGTTAAGGGGTGAGGGCTTCGCCGTCTGCACCTCCTTCGGATTACTGATAAAACTTCACCAGATGGTGTACATTCCACGTTCGTGGTACATTGGACCCATTCGGACGTTTAAGCTTGTAGGTGCCGGGTTTGACCACGGCACTGACGATGTAGGGCCCTTCGTACTTCAATGCTAGCTTGCCATCCTCTGTCGGCTGGCTTGCTTCCCGTCGGCGGAGGACGTAGTGCCCCACCTGAAATTCCCGGGAACGTACCTTGGCGTCATAGTATGATTTTACTTGACGCCGGTAGTTCTCTGCTCGGACGTAGGCTTGCTCACGCCTCTCATCGACCAGGTGTAGGTCAATCTTCATGTTCTCTTCGTTGGTGTCAGGCTCATATTGTTCCACCCGTCGGCTGGGGATGGCAACTTCCGTGGGAGCCTTTGCTTCAAAGCCGTAGCTTAGGGCGAAAGGCGTTTCACCTGTCGCCCTCCTCGGCGTGGTCCTGTAGCACCACAGGATGTTGGGGAGCTCGTCGACCCAACTACCTCCTGCGGCCTGGAGCTTCTTCTTCAGCCCCTCCTTAATTGTTCTGTTGGCGTTCTCGACCTGCCCATTGCCCTGAGGGTAGGCAACGGAGGAGAAACGATGCTTTACCTCAAACTCCCGGAGGAGTTCTTGGAAAGGGGCTGCCTCGAATTGGGTGCCGTTGTCTGATATAATCTCCTGGGGGATGCCAAAGCGTGTGATGATGTTCTTGTAAACGAATTTTTGGCATCTGGCACCCGTGATGCTGGCCAAGGGCTCCGCCTCGACCCACTTGGTGAAGTAGTCGACGGCGACGATGATGTAGCGGTTATTCCCGGCGGCTCTGGGCAGGGGGCCGACCAGGTCAATCCCCAATCTGGAGAATGGAATTGCGGTGACGACGGGGGCGTAGTTGACAGCTGGCCGACCAGGGGCCTTCTGGAGCACCTGGCATGTGGTGCACTTCCGGGCCAGGTCAGCGCAGTCGCGTGCCATCGTCGGCCAGAAGAAGCCCTGGACGACGAGACGCCGGGACATGCTGAAAGGGCCCTGGTGCGAGGAGCAGACGCCACAATGAACTTCTTCCATGGCTATGTCGGCCTCGTCCTGGTGCAGGCATCAGAGGAGGGTGCCATTATAGGGCCGTTTGTAGAGTCTGCCATCTTCGATGGTGTAGCTTGGGGCCCTGAGTTTGGCAAGTTTGGCCCTCTCCTCGTCTGGGGGCAGCTCCCCCGCTGTGATGAAGGTAGCGATGTCGGAGATCCAGTCCTCTGGTCGCTGTTGGACGCACAAGACGGGGCTGGCATGGATGCTGGACATGCTCAATTCCTCGATCTTGGCCAACTGGGAGATGTCCTCCGGGGTGTCCGAGCTGAGCTTGGAGAGGATGTCGGCTTCGGCGTTCTCGGCCCTTGGGATCTGAGTGATCTCGTGGGTTTCAAACGCTTTCAGCAACTCCTCCACCGCTTGTTTGTACTGCTTCATCCGGCCTTCCTTTGCTTCGTACGATCCCTCCACCTGACCCACTACCAGCTTGGAGTCGCACTTGATTTTAAGGTGCTTGGCCTTGAGGCCGGCGGCGAGTCTGAGGCCGTTGAGGAGGACCTCATATTCGGCTTCGTTGTTGGATACCCTGAAGTTGAAGCGGATGGCATAGTAAGCTCTAAATCCTTCAGGGGATATGAGGACGCCGCCGCCGCATGATTTCGCGGCAGACGAGCCGTCAGTGAACAGGGTCCACTTATCGTCCGGCTCTGGCCCGGGGTTGGCGACGGCCGTCTCCCTTGTTGTGCATTCAATGACGAAGTCGGCCAAGGCTTGCCCTTTGATGGATGGCCTTGGCTTGATCTCGATCTGAAACTGGCTAAGGAAGATCACCCATTTCACCATCCTTGAGGAGCTGGTGGGGCTCCTCATGAGTGCGCCGAGGGGCTGTTGGGTCAGCACATGGACGGTGTGGGCCTGGAAGTAGCGTCCAAGCTTCTTCACCGTATGGACGATGGCCAGCACCGTCTTCTCGATGGGGGAGTACCTGAGCTCGGCCTCCCTGAGTGTCTTGCTGATGTAGAAGATGGCCTTCTGCACCCCTTCGTCCTCACGGATGAGCACAGAGCTGATGGCCGACGTGCTCACCCCTAAGTACAAGAAGAGGGTTTCACCGGCTTTGGGCTTGGAGAGCAC